TATGAACTCATATGAATGGGATGCTTTGAAATGTGATTTCTACAAGCACAGCAATGGTATGCAGATCCTATTCTAAAACCATACCAAAAGATTGAACAATATTTAACAGGATAGGAAACAGATCAGACACAGTCTAAAGTAGAAGGATATTAGTATATGCTATATCATTATTATTATTTAGGAAGTTAAAAACAAGATTCCCCACACCTTTAAATTGAGTCTCACCCTACAATTTCCGAGAACCAGGTCATTCGTGATATTTTGCAGATACGGCCATGAGGTCGGGATGATTACAATAAAGCCAAATTTTTTTACTTAGCAAATGGAGTTTAAGAAAAAACCAGCAATACAAGATGACAAACAAGGTGCAAAAAACTCCTGACGCCATAAATATAAGACAACAGAACAGTAAAGAAACCTTATATTGTGAACCCCGGCATGGCTAATTTTATTTTTATTTAAACACAATACACAGAACGCAAGTTCATCAACAATAAATCTTCTTATTACCTTTCCGGGAAAAAAAATCATGAATTTGTAAAGTATACGCTGTGAAATCTTTAATATAACTATCAGATCTTTTTCTTATTCCCTTTACATACCGCAAAATAACAAATAATGAAACAGAGACTTAACTGAAAATGAGAGTTTAAATCGAAGTAGAGAGATGAATAGAACCTGAATGGAAGCTCCTTGATGAGAGACGTTGGCATTCTGATCGTAGCAAGTGAAGAAAGCTGCTCTTGCCATTTCTCTCACTCCATCACAGAACTTGCGTACACTCGAAATTGCCAGGTGTTTGCATTTATCGGTTATTATTCGGCCCCTGAAAAATACTCAAATAAAAATCACCCATGATTTTAAGGGGTTATTTTGATACTTTTACAAGACTTAGCGACTTTTTCCCACCTAAATATGGCTTAATGACCCATTTCACCGACCGATTTTTAAAATGTCATTTTACTATCCATTTAATTTTAACGACATAGAGAGCAAACAGGTGCTGCTGTTGGGGCTTTTGAAGATGGGACTGATGAGTCTTTCGGTTAAATGTTGGATTTTGGTGGTTGAAATTGATCGAAATTTGACTTGGAGTGGCACTGCGCAAACCTTTCGCTCATTATCACGATTGACAGGATCGACTAAGTAAGGTTTGAAGGGTTTTGATGAGTGATGATTGGGGAAGAGAATGTGGTGGTGTATGACAATGCAAAAATCGAAACAGAAACATAAATCTTGATAGTAAAGTGGTATTTTAAAAGTCTAAAGGTAAAAAAATGTCATTAAGCCATTATTGAGTGGAAAAAAGTCATTTACTCACTTTTATAATATAGGTGAATGATAATGTTAAGGTGGTACATGATACTTTTCAAAAATGTGGGTTCTTTTTGTGTTTTTTACTATCTCTCCTTCAAGCTCAGTTATCTGTATTGCCCTCTCAGTAACAAGGGCATTTTGGTCTGGTGGTAAAATTCTTGCTGATGGTGCGAGAGGTCTTGGGTTTAGTTCTCGGAATACCACTGTTTCTTATTTTATTTTAATTATTTTTTTGTGATTAAGCGAGTAGGCCCTATACCTTCTAGAAAGAAAAAAAAAAAAAAAAAAAACCAGTTTGTCTTTATAGGTGAATGGTCAAAGCAAAATGTTGTACAAGGAAGAACCCGTCTCCCTTCCTCATATTTTTTTAACTTGTTATAATATTAATAACTCTACGTTACATTATTTCTCCTCACCAAGCACTTTATTTCTATCTTCTTCTCCTCTTCAATGGATCATCAACAACACAACAATCTCCACACCTTCAAGAATTAACGACTCAGATCAGGACGACGCCGTTTCTCTCTGTGATCTCCAATTGATCACCCTCACAATGAACAGATCAATCATCACCCACTGCTCCCCGTGACTCCTTCGACTTCTCTTTCACCTTTAATACTCCTATCCTATCAACACACTAACCAAACCGACGTCGCTTCAACGACAACGTTAACACAACTCCTCTATTATTGGTATGATCGGACCTCTTAATCCTTGATGATCTCTACGACGTCAACCGTGACAAGATCAACAAGTTACAACTTCATTCGGTGAAATCGAAGTCTTCTCGGGAACCGGAAACTGGGAGTTACCGGTTGAATCATTCGAGTAGTTCATCTCGAAAGCATATGGTTTTTATTGGATATGGATTGGCCAAATTCCAACTAAATGGAGCTGAGTGATATAAAGAAGAGGCAAAATAGTAGGAGAAACCCCCTCCCATGTTCCCGGCTGGGACTGCTCACGTGTGTTAATGTAGGAGAACCGGCGGCACTGGAAGGAAACATCATCGGGTTCTCATTGCCAACTTGTTGGCTAAGGCGACGGCGTTCACTTGTGTTTTGCCGCCCTTTGTGAGCTAGCTTGCATGCATGCTGGCTTGGTTGATGATGGCGTTGACTGGTTAATTTTTGTGATATCAATCCAATGGATATTAAAAAACTAATTTTTAATTGTTCTTTCAAAGTTCTTGATCCATCATGTGTCTCTTTATGTTACTCTGATTATTAAATAAATAAAATGTTTTTGCATTATTTATTGGATTATTGTTTTTAGAACTACTTACCACAATAATATATTTTCAATTAGTTCATATTATAAGATTGCGCTAATGATTAACTCAATTCTAATTCGGTATGTCTAAGAAGAAAGTTTTTTTTTTTTTTTTTTTTTTTTTTTTTTTTTAAGACTGACATGTCCAAACTAACTTATCCACTCCCTAATCTTCCGAGCCCTTGGAACTACCGGTCGAGTAGAGTTCCTTGGCACCCTTTTTAGTAATCAAGGAGGGACTCGAACTCATAACCTCTTGAATAATACACTCAGAGTCATTATTAAACTCTCGGCCAGTAGTTATAAGAATAAAAGTTGATTCGAGTATAGAGAATAAAAAAAAAATTGTTATTATTTGTAAGAAAACATAAAAGAGCTTTATAATTTTAATAAATTACGAAAAAAAAGTTTTAATTTTAATCATCAAATTATAGTTAGTGTTTATTGCTGTTAAATTTTAGTGTTGAGTTTGTGATTCATTCAAACTAATTTTATTCTAAATAGGTTTTTATTAAATATTGTATAATTTTGGACTCTATATTTGCATTCTATATAAGAGTCACATTTAGAATGTCATTTAATATAATTTACAGTTAGTTCTCTTCATTCTTTTATTTATGATTAATATTATTTGGATGGACAATATCACAAATTAATATCAATAAATTTGGCCGTTTTGAAAATAATTGAGTTTCTTTTCTCCAAAATAATTTATTCCATTCAATGTGGGCATTACTAATTGGACTCGTATTCAGCCGGCTAGCCACACGGTTAACATTTTGGAATCACATGTTGACTTGAAGCTTTCACTCACTTGTAGGGAAAATGAACAAATTAGAGCACCAATCCACATAATATTTAAATTCCATTTTAGTAATTGACGCGGAACCGATGCCTGTAATTTAGTTCATATCAACACATACTTTCGTGTAAGTTAATGGTTTGGAAAACGACAAATTAAATAATTTTAAGGAGGTGCGTGTAAACTGTCTCAAACACTTTCAATTATAAAAAGAAAGTTAAATAATTTTCAATGCATTTTATCAATATTAGAGGAATACCATTACCTACAACACGCGCGACATTGAGTGTTACATAGTTTATATATCAACGTCAATACGTTATAACATTGATCTATGGTGAGAGCACTGGAACCGTGCCCTAATGTTAAGCTTAGCGCCGGTGAAGAGAGGTTTTCCATGGTGATGGTTTGGCCGAGTAGGATTTGTGGTAATGTGACTCGTAGAATTTGTTTCCCGTATATTATCCATCAAAAATTTATGTTATAAGTTTTATATCGTACGTACTGTGTAATACCATTATTCTAAGTGTATATAATCCAAAATGTATACCTTTAAAATATGTATACCGTCACATAATTTAACATTTTAAACTTAAATTTATAACACTATAAATTTTGAGGAATATATATACTTTTGTTCATACATTCTAAAATTTGTCTACTAAGAAACTTCAAAAAATATAGCTCCATTTGTTTCTCTTTCGAATATTATTCTGATTTTTTCTAATAAAGTTAAACAGTAAAATTGGCTTATTCTCAAAATATTATTTAATTTCTTTTAAACCCCCATAAATTTATTATTTTAACTAAACACCCCCAATTTTTTTTAAGAAATTGCAAAAACACCCTAGCAACCCACATTTATCATATTCCGGCAACCACTGTCGGAAACTGACCGGAATTTGGTATAATTGCGCACTACCGGCTGAATCTAGCCGGAGCTGGTAGTGCTTCGATCTAACTTTTTCCGGTCAGATCTACGACAATATCTTTGGCCATAACTAGTCGTCAATAACGGCTAAGATATGGTCGTCGTTGATCATCAACAACGGTCGTATCTTTGGCCGTCTTAAACGACCAAATGCAACAAGATCTGACATTTTCCGGCCATATCCATTGTGGATTTGATCGAAAAAGGCCATATCGGCGCACAACCGACAAAATCCAGTCGGTTATACGTCGATACGATGACTTTGGCCACCCTCCAACGGTGGTGGCCGGCTGTCCGTATTTGATGGATGAGTTGGGGGCGTTTTTGTTAACTTTTAATATTTTATTATAGAGGTGTTTAATAAATAAACAAACATAAGATATATTTTTGTTAATTTCAAATTCTACATCGTAATACCTACCTAATTTAACTTTTTTCAAAATATTATTCTAAAAAGTATCATACAACCAAATAGACCTAAAAGATTTTTGACAAATCCCCCATAATAAATCTCGTAGCAATTTCCAAAGGACAGGAGAGTTTAACAGGAAAAAGAGAAGGAAAGACAAAAGTAACAAAATTTTAAGAAATTTTCCGCAACATTAACATATTTGTCCTGACTCCTGAATAACCAAAGAATTTACCAGGGGAAAAATTGGAAAGACAAAAAAAACGACAGCGTTTTCCCACAGAATCAGCTTCAAGTTCTCACTCTCGTTTACGCCGTCTTCCTACCGCCACAGTCCGTCTCCGTAAACTCGCCACGAGCCAGCTCTGGTATTTTCTCTTTCGTGTGTGTATATACGTATTTTTATACGTATACGTAAACTACAACTGTCTAGGTCAGCTTTAGCACAAAAATTACAGTCACAGTTAACATCAATTCATTCGCTGGGTTTTTAATTGTATCTAAGATGGAAGCCATGGACGCGTCGATTTCAATTTTTTCGACCGTTAAGCCTTCAAATCCCAAACCTAATGCTACCGAGGAGGAGAGTTTCAGGCGCCGTGTCGATGAAATTTTTCAGAAAGTTGATAAGGTAAAGATTAATTAATATTATGTGTATTGTGTGTATCTGTGTTTGTGAAAGTAGAAACTAAGATCTCGTCAGTTGATTTAGAGTATGGTGAGTGTTGATTGATTATTGTTGTGCTTTTGGATTTGTAGCTGGAGCAAAGAGTGAATGAGGTTGAACAGTTTTACCTAAATAGTTCGAGTAAAAAGCAGGGGAGCAGTTCTAAAGGCAGCTCAGTTGTGAAGGATAAAGAGAAGGAAAGGCACGTTCCTAGCATTAGGAAGCAGCAGCAAGAAGCCTCGCGCAGAGAGAAGGCTGCCGAGAAGCGAATGGAGGAGCTTATGCGTCAATTTGGCACAATATTGCGTAATGTAAGCAATAATTCTTTCCAAGTAACTGCTTAGCAATTGAATTGCCTTGCTTAATTTTGAAACTTGAAATCCTAATTTGAACCCGGAACTGTAACTGGTAGAAGAATGTATAATGCTTGATTTCAAATCACAAGTGCAATAATTGTTTGTAAGTCTTATTTTAAATCCGAAGAGACTTGTTTATAGGTTTGGTTTATGAATCTTACAGAGAGTTGTTAACTTGGGTACTTTGAGAAACAGAAATATATACTGTATGTCATTGGAACCTTACAAATTAATTTCCTAATGTATCTTGGCTTGCTCTCAGATCACGCAGCACAAATGGGCCTGGCCATTTATGCAGCCTGTTGATGTCAAAGGTCTTGGCTTGGATGACTACTATGAGGTGAAGTAACTGTAGCTTTTTCAGTTGTATATTTGTAAAAATGTTGTTTCCTTCCCGCAAAAATGGGTTCTTAGAGGATTTTTTATTGATTTGTATTACAAACTCTCATTGCCTGTTTTCAAAATGCATGGCCATTTTGGTTGCAAAATTCTTTGAGTATGTGGCGTTGTTTAATCTGCTGTGTATGGTTTGTACTAGGTTATTGACAAGCCCATGGACTTTAGTACAATAAAAAAACAAATGGAGGCCAAGGATTATAAGAATGTTCGGGAGATATGCACTGATGTGAGGTTGATTTTTAAGAATGCAATGCAATATAATGATGACAAAAGTGATGTTCACGTTATGGCAAAAACTTTGCTGTCAAAATTTGAGGAGAAGTGGCTGCAACTCTTGCCTAAAGTTACTGAAGAGGTAATTTATTGTCCATCTAGCTTTTTTCCTTGCTAGGACTTAATAGCTTTTTTTTTCATGGCTTCAATTGGGGGTTCAGTATGGTTGCTTTTGTGGAAGAGAAATGTCAAATTACCTTCTTTGTGAATCCTGGATCATTTCTTCACTTTCAAGGCATGTACCTGTAGGAAAAAAGACGAGAAGAAGAGGAAGCACAGGCACAGTTGGATATGCAACTTGCACAGGAGGCTGCGAATGCCAAAATGGCTAGAGATATAAGTAATGAGGTATGATACACACTTTATAGCCATCATTTCCAAGGATATATTTAGAGGGCGAGGGGGGTTAGGATAGATTCCTTCTTGCAAGTTTAAGCTCTTCCTATTTGCATTATCTTATACAATCCATCTGTCATAATGGAATATAAGAGGAATTTCTGAAAATTCTATGTTCTTTTCAGCTTTACGAGGTCGATATACATTTGGAAGAACTCAGAGAAATGGTTGTCCAAAAATGCAGGTTTGATTATAACTTTGTGTAAAATGGTGAAATTTGTAATGAAAAGTCAATTTGCATTTATAATACTGCAAATTTCATTGCTAATTTGTCTTTGTCAAACATATTATTAAATTTACCTGTTACTGAAGTGCTATTGGGTAACTCTCTTGATTGTTTGTTACATTCCCCCACCCTCCATATCAATTCTTCAACAAAATTGAAGATGACATTACTAAATATTGTTACTGAATGGAAAATGGAGTTATCTGTATGTATGTTGCGTGATGAGGACTCGTTTAAATTTTCTTTTTGCGTCTAAAGTAAGATTGCTTGGTCTTTTCTAATATTCCCTATGCATCAGTACTGAGAACCTACTTTAATGAATGGTATTAGATTCTTGAAGGGTGGCATTTGTTGATGTGTATGAAACAAGATATCCTGATTTTGATCATCTCAACCAAGTGGTTGTTACTATACTGAGAACATATCTTTACCTTGTGTGGGCAAATTTTATATTATTTCTTTGATCAAATTTCTATTTAAGAAGACACTTAATGCAAGATCTTTTTCAGCACTATAGGTGTTAAGTTGGGCCATGTTTAGTTGGACTAGTATTAGGGTTGGTAAGGTTTTAGGATAAAAGGATTTTGTGGATAAAATGTATTGAGTTACAATATCAAAACGGAGGCTGATAGCTGTTTGTGGAAATGATAGGAAATAAAAAACAGATAATGAAGAAGGTAAGCCTAGGCAATCATATCTGGGTTTCTTAAGCAATCACACCAGAGAAGAAAAGAATCTCACTTTCAAGATAGCTTTAAACTTAATGTTTTGTTTATTCATTGGTTTTACTTGATGTGTATATGGTTTTTAAATGTACGCAGATTTTTGTTCTTAATTTTAATTTTTTATTGAAGTATCTCAGCCTGTACTTTTGCAACTTAAGATAATTTTGAAACCACTGTTTCAGAAAAACTTCAATTGAAGAGAAAAGGAAGCTTGGTGCAGCGCTGACCAGGTTGTCTCCTGAGGATCTCAGCAAAGCATTGGAGATTGTTGCTCAAAGTAACGTCGGTTTTCAAGCAAAAGCTGAAGAAGTTGACCTTGATATTGATGCTCAGGTTGTGGTTATGGATCACTATAACAGCTGTGTTATTTCCTTTTAGAATCTGATGGTTTTTATAAGTTACGTAGTACTATGTTCCTTGTGCAGAGTGAATCCACCTTATGGAGATTAAAGTTCTTCGTGAAAGATGCTCTGGAAATTCAGAACAAGAGTGCGGCAAGCACAGGTGGCAACAACGACAGCAACAAAAACAACAACAATAATAATAGCAACAATAACAATAGCAACAACAAAAGAAAAAAAGAGATTTGCGACGCAATTGCCAAAACTGCCAAGAAAAAGAGTAAAAAGCCTTCTTCTTGATCATTCCAGAGCATGCCAAAAGTTGCATTTCTTCGGAACAAGCCTCCTTGGTGTTAATCAGAATCAAGTCTAACAGGTATGTGGGAGGAAAGCAAGAGCATCATTTTGTTGTAGGTTTCGTCGATACTTATCTTTACAACTTTATTCGAAGAACTGCAACCACACTCTCATGTCCTAGACTTGTTGTGACACTTTGTAAATCATCTAATCGCCTTTGCTCCGCCAACATGTAATATAAACAGAAAATGACTACTTTGATTTTCTCTTCTAATTTAACATCTATTTTGCCCTGTGCAAAGTTGACTGTTAATGGGATAATTCTTCACATCCTGTGTTATACATTCTTTTTGTAAGCTGAAGGAAATATCGATATTTTGGACTTCCAAATACTGGCGGCAATCTCACACCGGTACCTTCCTCCCTTATTTCTTTTCGGCTTTCATTCATAATTTAGTAGATGGATAAGGAGATAATACTGTTTGGATGTTGATTTTATTTTCATACCATGGAACTGCATTTTTCATGCTACAAATTAAAAAGATATAAATCTTTATTTTAGTGCAAAACTTTCAAGGGCCAAAATGAATTGAGGAACCATATGGGTGAAAAATGGTAAAAAGATATGGATTTGAGCAATTGGATCTTTACTTGCGCCACTCGAATCTTGTTTTCCATGTGCAAATATTTCCTTTTATTAATTATACATTTCCCATCTTTGCAAAGTCAAACTTTTCCTCAAATTAAGTATAACTTCTCTACTGCACGAGGTCAGAAACTTTTCAGTCTGTTATCGGTTATCCACCTTTTTCTCTCTCTATCTATCGTGGATAACTAGTATCACCAGACACATTCCCCTTATGATAGTACAGTATCTTATGATAGTACAATGTTAACAATCAACCAATAATAAATTTAAACAACTTATTATTTTGGATAAGAAAAAAATAATATTATAATTTAATCTCACAAACTTTTTCTCGTAATTTTGATACCGATTTGTAATTGGTTTAACTTATAATGAGTTTTGTCTGTTCAATAATAAATCACACCTATCAATTACGAATTGTCATGTCAAAATTATAAGAGAAATTTTGTAAGATTGAATTTTAAATCAATTTTTATTGTAATAAAAATCAACTTACCCATTTAGTGGTATTCTTAAATGTGAGTCACATATAACTAAAGTTATCATTTATTACTTATAATTTAAGAAATTTTTTTATATTAATAGATTTATTTGATATCAAAAAGTTGATGCGGGCTTACCATTATTATTATTATTTTATTAAAAACCTATTTTAATACACTTTAATCACAACTTCACAAGTGAAACGTTTTGGTAAAGGAGGGATTAATTAAATAATTTCATTGGTTAATAATAAATTACAAAAAAAATTAGGGACAAATGAACCAGCCTTTTGAGGTGAGTATTGATTTTTTACGGCTGGTACGGTCACTGACAAAAATCGAAACGTTAATGGCGTGAAAAACTCTTTCCTTGGGAACCAAACATTAGCGTACGACATGTCTTTTTGCGCCAATCTACTTGTCGGAAGTTCATTGGTTCTTGTCTTAGTAAACGAATTTTCTGATAAGCCAAACAGAGACTCTCAACATGCCGAAACACACGAAACTGAAACTCCTCGAAACACAGGAACAATCCCCGGACGTAAACAGAAAACAGAAAACCTAATTTAGTAAACCAGTTTGACGTCCGCCAACAAGTCAAGATTCAGCAATTTCCAGTCGACACGAGTTACACTCGCTCACTCTTTCTCTCTCTCTCTCTCTCTCTCTATAAAGTGAAACCGACCCAAGTCAGATGACACTATCGGAGGAGGAGGACTGAGGTGCTGAACAACCTAAAACCCTAACTTTGTGAGTAAAGAAATTTATAAATTACCTCTTTTGATTATTGAATTCAAATGTTTTTGTGTGATTTTGATCTTGGATGTCTAACATTTTGTTAATTTTGAGCTTAACTTTGTGATGTTTTGCAGAGGTTTGGGATTTGTCGTGGAAGAGAAATGGATATAATGTCTCCGCAGGTAATAGTGTGGGTGATTTTGAGTGTGTTTGGTTTGCTCGTTTGTTGTTTTGGTGCTTTTGTAATGACAAGATGTTGATTAATGTAAATTAAGTTTGGTTTGGTTTTTATTATTATTATTATTATTATTTGTGGGAGAATCACGCAAAATTTGATACCTTTTCTGCAAAGATATGATAAGTGTACTAACAAGAGCCATTTTACCTGCAATTTTGTTGTGTAATTTGTTCATGGGTTATTCATAGATAATACTGGGATGTGTTGATACTAGTCTGTTATGGACCTTCGGATGAGGTTTCTTCGTGTTTGTCTGAAGTCTTCAACCTTATTGAAGGGTGCTGAATCTCTCAGTGTCTTTGCATCCTAATGTTTGAGAATATAACTTCCTCAAGTAAACTACCCAATGTTCCTCTTGAATTCTGATTGCATCCTTTCCAGTTGCGAAAAAGAACATTGTTTAAATGTCATGTGTAATGTGGGGCCTTTGGTCAATCTTGCATTAACTGAGGACAAAAGATATCTATTCTAATATTTTGCAGAGTAAGGTGGCTATGTAAACATAAATTTGTGTTTTTGTTGCCTATCAATCATGTTAATTTTTCTATTACTTTGTTTGAGTTACAACTTCAAGGAATTTTATGCCAAACTTTATGATTGGGAACCATTTGAGATTTTTTTTCCTATACTTGTAGGGAAAGTTGGCCTATTTTCGAATTAAAGAGCTCAAGGATGTTCTAAGCAAGCTAGGTCTTCCAAAGCAAGGAAAGAAGCAGGTAAGTCTGTCTGATTATGGTTAGTTGTGTGTTTATGTAGCAGTTCCCTGTATGCATTTTTTAAGTAGGTAAATTTCTTGGAAAAATTCTAAGTGGTATTTACTAAAGTAAGCAATTCTGCTATAGACTTCCCATCATCATCTTCAAGTTTTAATTTCAATTATTGTCACATATGACTTTAATCAGCTGCATGATCGTTTCGATGTATATTAAAGATTATCTATGCCCTCTGATGTACCTACAACTTCCTGGCTGGTGGATTTGGCATTTAGTTTGGTGAAGTGAAGCATCCTGAAGGTAGCAGATGCGATAGTTATTTCGGTTGTTATTTAGTTGCTTGTGTCTGCACCATTCGAACCAAAATTTATAGTGTTTCTTGCCTATGAATTATAAGAGCTATCGGAACATGCAGTTACTGCTTCTTTAATCTATCTCTGCTCTTTGGTGCTTTGCTCGTGGAAGATAATTGCTACACCTCGGGCTTTCATTAGTTTGCATTCAAAATGACCTTCAGGGTGGGGTAAAAATGTTTATTATCAACTTGCATAGAAATGATTGTTCTTTGAAAAGTCTTGAGGTTTGTGCCACAATTTTGCAAGTCTCTGTGTGGATCAAACTTTTGCTCCTCTGGTATTCTTTTGCCTGCATTTATCTGCCACTCATTTGTTCATTTCTTCAATATGTTTAAGCAGTATATTGGCTATTTGGCCATCAAATTAAGATTTCACCTTTTTCTAAACATTGATCATCTAGAACTTCCATATTTATGTGATTTTATCTAGTGTCTTGCAGTTTGTAGTATTCTTTATAACTGATGATTCTTTTTTTTTCTTTTTAATTATCTTCAAGGATGATGTTTTTCCCCTGATATTAGAGGTGTTTCACTATGATACATATCCATTGCAGGATTTGGTGGACAGAATATCTCGCATTTTGCCAGACGAAGGACTAGCCAAAATAATTGATGATACTTACAGGTGCTACTTTCTTTTATTTGTATATAAATCGTCATGGATATTCATGATAAATACTTTCTTTTTGGCATATTTTAACATTTATGCTGCACAGTTGTTTTTTGAATCTTAAATTTTCTTTGTCTGCCACTTTCTCCATGCATTAGGATATTGGGGAACTTTTCTGCATTTATGGTTCATCATTATGCATTGAATGAAATGTTGCTTCCAGAAAAATGCAGATTTCAGAGGCTACTGAGTTGGCAACTTCGGGACAGACTGATTTGGGTTTGTGCAATGTGAAGCTTGAAACAGAAGTTGAAGATTCAATAAATTCAGGTGTGAAGATTTGCTGCCCATGTAGAAAATCATTTCCTAACGAGTTAATGGTACAGGTAATGATAAATTTGCTCTAGATTAGGTTTGCATTTATCATTTTGAGTTTAGCATGTATCAGTGGTTTAATTTCTATTCAAGGGTTATGTTAGATGAATTACTGAAGAACTTTGTTCTAGAAAGCTGGAGGGCATTCTGTAGTTTGTATGTCTTGCTCGGTTAATATACATCCTATAAATCTGCTTTAATGAAAATTTTCTGCTATGTGCAGTGTGCAGATCGAGGATGCCTCGTGCAGCAACATGCTGGTTGTGTTATTATTCCAGAGAAGCCTATGGAGGAGACTCCATCTATCCCTCCTCCATATTATTGCGAAATGTGTCGAATCAAAAGGGCAGATCCGTATGTATCTTGCATTTTCCATATTCTATTTCACTATGTATGGTTCCTGGTGGTGCATTATACATCATTTAAGTTTAATTTCTGCTATGACTGTATATCATGGTGGGCCCTCCACTAATAGCTTAAACCTTTCAATTGCATTGTTTTTAAGCTCATGGTAGCTGATTCAAATTGGTTTCTGTACTATTTTTTATTTAGTGTGTAAGCCCATTTGCTAAGTATTATGTTGGCTTGCAATGTGGAGAGAATGCTATCAGATCCTACATTGGTTAAGTTTAGTGTCAACTCTGGTTACTCATGTATGGTCAGGCCCTCCACCTGAAAGCCTACTCTTTTAGGTGGGATTTGTCTAATAATTGCAATTTTTTGTGGATATTCCGCCTAATTCTAATCAAACAGACAGATTTGCAAGTATATTGCAGTTTTAGTTTCTCATTTCAGTATATATACGGCATATAGAATTACACTCTTTACTAGGTACGACTTGGTAATGGATATGATTATTTATTGTATGCATCAAGAATCGACCTTGTCCATGAATAATAACCTGTTCGTTGGCATTTAGATGCTGTTTAAAACTAATGTTAGTGTTTCATGTTATTTAACTAATTTTGTCAATTTCCTTCTTATCTAGGAAGTGAAGAATTTTTTGGTTCATTAACATATTTTTCAATGCTCAGATTTTGGTTGACTGTGGCATGCTTAGTGTCCCCTATGAAGTTGGTCGTTTCAAATATTCCACCTGATGGGTGAGTTCATTCTCTCTCACTCTCACTTCTGCTCTTGCTCTGTTCCCCCTAAAAAGTTCCAAACATTGTTAATCTTATTGGAAAAATAATGGTTTTATTCATTAAATCCATTATTAGTTTTTTTCCTCAAATTATCATTTCTTGTCTAGGGGCTTCTAATCTCTGCATCAGAGGAGTTTGATCATTACATCCTGTGATAGTTTAAATATTACTATTTTGTGCTTTCTTACAACTTAAGCTTTTGAGATTAATGGTTATATTTAACTGAGGGTCTTGCATTTGAATTCTGGAAAAAAAATCCATTCTTTTAGTTGAATTACAAGATAGCGAAACATGATTTGTGCTTGGATAGACATGACAGATCTGTTGATTAATTTAGCCACACAAATAATAGGACATGTTTGTAGTTTAAATTCTATTATCGCATCCTTTTTCTTTGAGTTAATATTTTTTGGAATTAGTAATGTTCTCCAGCCTTTTCTTCGCACTGCTAGTAAAAGCGCTGGATTTGAGCAAGCAAATAAAACATTTTTTTAACATGCTAGTCCATGACTGCTTAAATTATGTAATTCTTTTAATGATTTTGTAACTTAATCCCATTTTTGTGACACAAAGTTTGTAATTTCTTAGTCAATAATAAAATAAATTTAATAGATAACCATTCTTATCCATATGCTTTTAGAATTAAATTGTTAAAAATTTCAGAAAGCTTGTAGTGTGAAGATATTACTTGGATCTCCTATCTAGTTTTAAAGAAGCAAATTTGAATCCAAGCTTCACCATGGTTAGGAGTATACTCAAAACCTTGCACCAAGCATAACTCAGGCAATTGAAGGAATTTTTTACTTTATTTTGTTTATTCTTCTCCTGTTTCATTCTATTTAATTTAGATCATGTACTCTGATCTTCAGGACAAACCCCCTGCAGATTGCAGAAACAACATTTCTGCTGACACAAGCTCATAAAGATTTACTACAGAAAGATGGATATGATATTCAGGTTGGTAGCAAGTTAGTTTTGTAAATGGCAAATTATGCTTGTTAGTAAGTTATATGGAGGGTTCTATATATTTTGGTTATTAATATGTGGTCATGTACTTGCTATGCAGGCTTGGTGTATTCTCTTAAATGACAAAGTTTCATTCAGGATGCAATGGCCACAATTTGCAGATTTGCAGGTTAATGGTATGGACTTTGGTAATCTTTTTCCACTTGTAAAATTTTCACGCACAGCTGCTGCTCCACCTGCCTTTTCCTGTGTTATTGAGGAATATCATGGTCTCTGAGAAGTTCCCTTAACTGTTTCACTATTTGTGTTACCTGTGGTGCTTGTGTAGTAATAAGGGTGTTCCTTAGCTAAAGCATCTGATGTCTTACAGTGCATAGTCTCCTGGCATGGCTTGTTCAGGAAGTGGACAATTGCATATCTGATTATTCTTTTACAGGCTTAACTTTAGACATCTGTATTTCTTTGCCTGTTTTTGGTGGATAGGAATTCATCCTTTAATGCAGGGTAGCAGCATTTTTCCACCTTTTCTTCTAACATCATTGGTAGCAATAGCTAGTTCTGTTTCTTACTAAGTAGTGGGCAAATTGCATAATGATCCTAGGTGTAAGTAACCTTACCAAAAGAAGCATGAATCAAGTTTCTTTTGGTGTAGACAAGTGTGCCCTTGATATATTTGTTTTCTCTGAAACAAAAAAATCCTAATCCTTTGTAGCGCTTTCCTTGTACAAAGTTTCTTCAACAATATGGTCATAAAATGCCCTATAATAAATTGTTTCAGAACTCTTTCTGCAACATTATCACTAGCTCTATACTGCACGCCTAGTCCTATACTAGGAGCCACTATGGCTGAATGAGCCCTTACTCCTGAAGAATATATAGGCCTGATGTTGTTCATGCGACACCTCAAAAATGTAAATGAGGCATTGGGGCAAACCTTGTGGAATAGCCCATCTGCAGTTTTAGATTTGCTTGTTTGACTATATTGGCCGTACAGTTCAAGAAAATGTTTTGATTCTAAGTTTCCAATATAGGGTTACTTTTTCTTGATTGTTTTCATCGTAGATGATTTTTTGTAGGACTTCAAGTAAGAGCAGTTAATAGACATGGATCGCAATTGCTGGGTGCTAATGGTCGTGATGATGGTCCACTAGTGAGTCTCTATCACCTTCTACTTTATTCTATAAGGTGATTTAATATCTATAATCAAGGCATTATATGATTGCTTTGTTCCCATCTGTATAATGTGGTCTGAAAGGAATAATAAGTTATAATTTGATAGGTGCATTCTTCAATTATTTATTTTATGATTATTTTCTTTAATTTTATCAGATTACATTATACATCATTGATGGGGCTAATAAGATTTCTTTATCGGCATGCGATGCTCGCGATTTCTGTTTTGGTGTCAGACTTGTAAAGCGACGGACAGTTGAACAGGTATTCCTATTACATTTATGTATTCTGTTGGACAGGACCAGGACAGAACATGACATTTTCTTTTCACCTTCTTTTTGTTGTTGAAAATGATTTTCTGTGTAAACTCTTACATCTTTGTTTAGTCATCATATAAGAAGTATTATTCTTCCATACTGTCTACTAGACTCTTCTAAACTCTTGACTATTTAGTGGATTGTATTATATGTCTCAAAAATAATTCGCACCTGTGCATGCAAAAACTGTCTAGATCTCTGTCTTTACATGCTTTTGAAGTTATTGGATAAGTTATTATGTTCTACTCACTTCTCTTCGTTTTAAAGTTTTGTTTTATTTTCGTTTCCCATAATGCAACCACTTTTCCGTCTAATTCAATGTTAAGGTCCGCAACTTAATTCCCAAAGAAACAGATGGTGAGCTTTTTGAAGACGCACTGGCCCGTGTTCGCCGGTGCATCGGTGGTGGGATGGCTACTGGAAATGAAGACAGCGATAGTGATTTGGAAGTCATTGCAGAGTCCATTACAGTTAACTTACGTTGTCCTGTGAGTAATAATATAATTTTTATGGAACTGTAGTTGCTTTGCCATTATTTTCTGTTCCACGATTTTTCTATTCCATTTGCCAGGGTGGATTCAACTAATCCACTTTTGGCTTTTAATAATATGATATAACTTTGTCCTCCCGGTAAAGAAAAATAATAATGATGATGATGAGGAGATGTTATTTGGTGTCCTCATTGATCGTATTTCATTGGTTGATGTTTACATATTTACGTGTAACTGGCAGATGAGTGGTTCTAGAATGAGGGTTGCTGGCAGATTTAAACCTTGTGTTCACATGGGCTGTTTTGATCTTGAAACTTTTGTTGAGCTAAATCAGCGGTCTAGGAAGGCAAGTGATCATTTTATCTCATGATTTGTGTCTATTTGATTTTTGAGCATAGAGATGTGAGAAAGATTTGTGATTATTGCAGTGGCAATGTCCCATTTGCCTCAAGAATTACTCTTTGGAGGACATCATCATTGACCCATATTTCAATTGCATTACAACAATGGTAATATATTTGCTGCATCTCCTATAATTACCAGAGCTTATATAATTCAGTGAATATATATAAAGGATCTTTTTCATTGTCATTTTGTGGGACAGATGCAAAATTGTGGTGAAGACATAACTGATATTGAGGTGAAGCCTGATGGTTCTTGGGCTGTGAAAACCAAAGGTGAGCCTAGTGATCTTGCGAAATGGCATTTACCCAATGGTTCACTTTGTGATGCCAGAGATGAAGTCATCTCCAACTTAGAAACACCAAGGCAGATCATCAAGGAAGGTAGTTCAGTTCGTACTTCTCTGATTGGGATGAAACAGAATCTCTGTGGGACTGCAGAAGTCAGCGAAAATCAATTTATCACCCTCTCCCCAATACATCAAATGGAGGATTATATTCAAAGTTATGATGAAAATTTAATTACAATGAGCAGCAGTGCCTCTGGAAGTGGCGGAGATGATGAAGACCCAAGCATTAATCAGGATTGCAATGGGCATATTGATACCTCTGCCAATAATGGCAATGAGATAAATTTTATTCCTCATAGTTTTGATTCAACTTTGGCGATTGAAAATCAAACATCTGCACTGACAAGGGGTGCAGACATCATTATTCTCAGTGATTCAGAAGAAGGGAATGAACATTTGGACCCCCCTGAATCAGTCTACAAAACCTTTTCTGCAATTGATAGTGGACCTCCCGGGTTTTCAGACTCATATCTGGTAGACCCAATGCTTGATGCTGGTGCAAATTCTTGTTTGGGTCTTTTCAGTGGCATTATTAGCGATATTGGGATGTCTAACTGGCCATATACTTCTGGTACTCGTGGAGGTTCTGGATTCCAACTGTTTGGTACCGATTCAATTGTTGCAGATGCTTTTGTTGACTTGGATCATTCTCCAGTAATGTGTCCTCCTCCGATGAATGGTTTCACAACAGTTGCTAGACCAACTTTAACATCTGGCAGGGAGATCCTAGATTCTCCTGTTTGCCATAACAATATTGACATAGATGAGCATTTAATTGATAATACCTTGCCATTTGTCGGTGATGATCCCTCTCTACAAAATTTCCTTCCATCTCAGCCACCTGTAGTGTTGTCAGAGTCTGATTTGGGACAGCAGCCTCCTACTCTGAATGGTATCCGTACTGATGATTGGATTTCTCTTAGGCTAGGTAGTGATGGTGAGCATGTTCGTGGTGATCTTGGGTCTAATTCTCGATCTGCTGCCACAAATGGGCTGGAATTGAGACACATTTGTGGACCGAATGGAGGTAGAATTGTCTAAGTAATGCTGTATTGTTGCTTAAAGCAAACTTTACATCCTCAGGAATACTAAAATCTGTATTTTCCTTTTTAGAAATTTGTATTAACTGTCATGAATTTCCCAATACTATTTCTCTTGATCTATTGTCACTGGTTTCTTAATTGCAAAATGATGCTAATTTTGTGTAACATAAATTATATTTACCTTCTTTAGTAGGGATGCAATAATGTCTGAACAACATGCATGCAGTGTAATATTAGCCATGAAATGGTCTGGTAGAGTACTCATGAAGCAGATTGGGTGGACATAGAGATTCATGTAACTTAATTTAGATTTCTTGGCCCAGGAGATAGTGTAGAAATTATTTTAACACTATGCACCAGTGCCATACGAGGTCAATTTTTGATTTGCGATGAACTAGAGAGCATATTTCTAGTCTTCCCATAGGTTTTATCGTCTTTAACTCTTGTTATTAACAGTGCATTGCCTCATTTATGGATGATGCAATTTCCATTCGGATATCAAATGTGTGTTGTTATTATTTCTTTGATTTAAGTCAGCAATAGGACATTGTTTGTGTTAATTCCTTATATCGATGGAATTATCTATTCATATAGTATGCTTTGGATGTGTTTCTAATGTTATTGTCATTCGTATACTTATTGGAAAAGATTGAATGTGATTTATTAACTCATGTTTCTGTGTGCAGCCGCTTCTTTGAGTGGTGAAACTAAGTCTAACAGAACAAATAATAAAAAAATATCAGCTGGCCCTTTCTCATTTCCACGCCAACCACGGTCTGTGAGACAAAGAGTGCATCCCTCTTAGATGCAGATCTGACTAGATGGAATCGGACCTTGTTGAAGATACCTTTTTGAAGTTTCGAACTCTAGTTTCAGTATCTACTTTGGGTTGATGATGGCTTTTTTTCTTTATTGAAAGAGCAAAGTCAAGCGTTCTTGTTTAGGTAAATATTACTTGGGGTTGATGATGCATTTCCTACTGCTCGTGATTTCATGTTGTTATGACATCTCATCTGCTTCATAAATTTATTGGCAGCTTCAGAACCTCTTCACTTGATGGTGAGCCCTAATCTAACATTCATGTTATAAAATGCTAATTCCTCTCACTGTTGACATGCCTATTTAGATGCACTTATGCTGAATTCTGAATATTGTGTTGAATTACTTCAGGTGTTAAAGATGTGGAAATATAAATAATAAATGGCGTATTACTAAACAAATCTGTGAATTAACAATCATCAATTTTTAATCTCTGCCCACCTGCTCAGAACAAAAGAAATAGAACATGAATGTGTACCATACTTCATTTTCTTACTCAATATTTTAATTATATTTACATCTATGCAACGTTATATATTTAATATAGGATAAATATTTTCATAAGTTTTGTGTTTTTTCATGAAGCTTTCTTAGGTTTAATGATCATGATAGCTGGAAAGTATGTCTTAAATAGATTTTGACTCTATAATTATTTTCTGATAAATAAAATTTAATCGATTAGTAATTTTACTGCATCAAACTTCCATCCATCACTGAAGAATGAAGCAAGAACATGTATTTAGAATTGTTCTAAACACCATGCTATGCTTATTTTGAAATTTTTGCTTTAAATGTTAACATTACATAAATCTGAGGTAAAGCCTTGTACTTGAACATATTTATGAGGTTATCATGTCTGAGGTTACAAGTCTATGACCTATTTTTATGTAGCTGTATTTTGATATTAAGAGTTGATCATTGTTATGAGTTGTCAATGTTAGCCTTTTACTGATCAATCTTTTGAGTAAATGGGTGTTGATTTTAAGGTTAATCAAACTGCTGCAAGTAAAATCTGGCAGTTTGAAAGTTTATTCAGTATTCATGAACGACTGGCTATGGGATCAGTCATATGTTTTGGCATTTAAAAGTTTGTTAAAATTTCTGTCAGTCTGCTCAAGTACAGTATTTATGGATAGTTATATTAACATAGTTATATGATTTCGAATAACAGGGACTCTAACGTCATTTTTTGGTTTCTTCCAATCAGGTATACAATAGTTTCTCGCCCTCTGTGATGAAGAATGCAAGTCTGACTTTCAACTCTTGACATACTTGTATATTCTACAACTGAAGCAATATCTTAGGTTGAAGAAAGAAAATTAAGAAACTTTTGAACTTCTTCTGCTTCTTAACCTTTCGAGATCATGGAAAGCCTTACTTATCTATTCTGGAAAACAGCTTTAATTATCTTGTGGCCTAGTCTTGCAAGGATAAACATGTGTAAATATTATGAGAAGCTGTAAATAAAATTATTCTGCTTTTCCAAGTCTATATTTACGCCAAATCCGATGTGTAGCTAGAGAGAAGAACCAGGCAACTAACACAGGTGATGCAGGTAGGATTATATGTGCATGCACTGCCATGGCAACCGCTTGACTGGTATGTTCAAGAATTAGAAAGATGATTGATTGCATTTGCATGACCTTCATATAGAAATGGTAGAAAAATTGTTTTAGTTTTAGCCTCATTTTGACAGGAATTACTAGCATTGCTTCTTGCTGTATTTTTGCCTATATGGTAAATTTCCTAGCAAATCTGTAGTAATTATGAGACAGAATTGATGTGTTACCAGCTTGGTAATATCATTCCACGCCAGTCATTCGATTGGTATCTAAAGTAATGCATTGTGGTTTTAGATATCCATTCGATAATTGGACGTTAAAGCATAGTTGGAAAAGCAGTATTCCCAGTATACATATTATGTTCTGCAGTGATTTTAAAAGGTGCAGAAAAACAAGTTATAACATGAACTATTAAAAATGCATCACCAGGATGGATCCTGCAGATAAATACGTTAGATGAGAAGTGTAGTTGGTTTTCATGAGTTTACATCTTGCAAATGAAGTTGATCGGACGACCACGAAATCATAAAAGGATCTTGATTTAATTGATTCATGTAATTTTGTAGAAAATTTTATAATAAGAATGAATCAAATTATGAAGTTAGGACTATTGGATGATGATGATTTCATCTTCATTCATAACTTGTTGGAGATAGTATGATCCAAGAGCCCGTTGATCATGGTTATTAATATCTTATGATATTTGATACGTATCTTATGATATAGGTTGTCAACAATACGTATCAAAGAGTGTATCTTAAACCTTTCAATACGTTGATATGTATCCGACAATACATATTAGTTCGTATCCTTAAAAATATAAATACTACTTTATTAATTTGGGCCTAAGGCCTAATAAATTTTTCAGGTCGGATTGAAATAGATCGGGTCGGATTCGAGTCACCCAATCCAGTTCACTAAACTCGTACAAATTTACCCATTTTACATAGAAAAAGTGAAGAGGAAGATATGTTGCTTATTTTGCATGATAATAATTAAGGGTGTTCAAAAGAACCAATTGGAACCGGAATCAGCGGGTACTCGGGGTTTGGTTCCGGTTTCGGTTCCTACCCGGAAACGGTCGTCAATGGATAGGTTCCAGTTCCAAATTTTTGGAACCCATTACTGTGCGATTCCGGTTCCGGTTCCGGTTTCTATAGCTAGGAATCGGAACCGAGAACCGAAACTAATATAATATAAAATTAAAGAGTAGGGGGGTTAATAAAAACTTTTGTATAAAAAATAACGTGAATACATTTATATTTATATTTCATAACATTTAAAGTAAGTTGGTTTGACTTTTGAGAATCTATCTTTGCAAAGTAATGGAGTTTGTAATTTTGAATTTATAAATTGTAATTTTATTTTTGTTAACAAGTGCTAGATGGGGGGGTATTTGTAAGTTTTTAAGGGTTTTTTTGCAATTTTAAAAACTTTTGGGGGGTCACTGTAATTTTATAGGGTACCCAGAACAGAAACCGGAATCGTTGTTACATGTTCTGGTTTTGAGTACCTAGGAACCGAAACCGTTCTGGTTCCAAATTTCAAGAAATCATCGGTTCAAGTTCCGGTTTCGGTTCCTTAAAAAATGCAGGGTACCCAAAACCGAACACCCCTAATAATAATAACACAAGTGAAGATATAGGCTCCGTTGGGTTCACAATTTTGTGTTTTTGGGAAAAGTTTTTAGAAAAAAGTTAAAAAAAAAGTTGAATTGGGTGGGTATTACAATGTAGGATTTACAAATTCATAAATACCCCCTATGTTTGTTTTTTTACAAAACACCCCCTATAATAAAACATTAAAAATTAACAAAAACACCCCCAACTCACCCTCAAATACGGACAGCCGGCCACCACCGTCGGAGGGTGGCTGGAGTCGTCGTATTGGCTCATGACCTGCTGGATCTTACCGGTCTTGCGTCGATATGGCCTTTTTCGGCCAGATCTAGCTGTCAATGGCGGCTAGATCTGGCCATTGACAGCTAGATCTGGCCGTATTTGCTCGTCAACGACGGCCAACAAACGGTCATCGTTGACCATCAACGACGACCGTTTGTTGGCCGTCGTTACCGACTGGTTACGACCAAAGATCTGGCCGTCAACGGCCAGATCTTTGGCCTTAGATCTGGCCTTTTTCGGCCAGATGCACCGTAGATCTGGCCGGAAAAGGCTAGATCGGCACACTACCGGCCAGATTCAGCAGGTAATGCGCCATCCTACCAGATTCCGGCCATTTTTCGGCAGTGGTGGCCGGAATCTGGTAAATGTGGATTGTTGGGGTGTTTTTGCAATTTAAAAAAAAATATTTAGGGGTATTTAATTAAATTAACAAATTTAGGGGGTTTAAAAAAAGTTGAATAAAGTTGAATAATATTGTGAGTTTTTGGGTATTTTACTGTTTAACTTTTTTGTGAATACTAAAAGTAGTATTCCCAAAAACCAACCAAACGAAGTCATAAATATTGACATTGATTTTGGAAATTATATGTATGGTTAAGAGGAAATGATATAGGCTCCGTTTGGTTGGTTTTTGGGAATACTATTATTAGGATTCCCAAAAAAGTTAAACAGTAAAATGCCCAACAACTCACAATATTATCCAATATTATTTAACTTTTTTTAAACCCCCTAAATTTGTTAATTTAATTAAATACCCCTAAATTTTTTTTTTCAAAATTGCAAAAACACCCATAAACCCACATTATACCAGATTTCGGCCATCACTACCGGAAGTTGGCCAGAATCTGATATAATTCAGCTGGTAGTGCGCCAATCTAGCCTTTTCCAGCCAGATCCACGGTGGATCTAGCCGGAAAATGCCAGATCTAAGGCCAAAGATCTGGTCGTTGATGGCCAGATCTTTGGCCGTAACCAGACATCAACGATGGCGAACATATGGTCGTCGTTGACCATCAACGACGTCCGTATCTTTGGCCATCGTTGACAAGCAAATGTGGCCAGATCTGGCCGTCAATGGCCAGATCTAGCCGTAGATCTGGCCAGCAAAGGCCACATCGGCGCACAACCAGCAAGATCCAGCCGGTCATGCGCCGATACGGTGACTCCGGCCACCCTCCGGCGGTGGTGGCCGGCTGTGATTATTCAATGGGTGGATTGGGGGTGTTTTTGTTAACTTTCAAACTTTTATTATAGGGGTGTTTAATAAATAAACAAACATAAGGGGTATTTTCATTAATTTCTAAATCCTACATCGTAATATCCGCCCAATTCAACTTTTCTCAACTTTTCTCAACTTTTTTCAAATTTTTTTTCTAAAAAATACAAAAAAGTGAACCAAACGGAGCCATAGATTCTTAATTTTGTGATTAATTTTTATTATGTAATACCATAATTTAAAACTAATAATATTATAAAATTTGTTAATTAACTTTGGGGATAATATTAATTTTAAGAAAATGTCCATTATTTTCATTATTATTATTATTATTTTGAAAAAGACGTATCTTATGATACGATACGATACACAATACATGATTTGAAAAATTAGGTTTTCGATACACGATATGACACGCGATTTGATAACTATGTCACTTATTTCAACTTTAGATTTGCAGTAAACAAGCTAACGAAATTATACACTCTAAATGGTTCCAATTATATCTCAAATAATCACAGTTCATTTTTAGGATATAAAGAAGAGTGACAAAATCCCACAATTTATGTCAAGATTCATAAATATAATTTTGTTTCTTATCTAACAAAATTTGCTTCTAAATAATCCCAAGGTGGGTGATCGGACGACCACGAAATCATAAAAGGATCTTGATTTAATTGATTCATGTAATTTTGTAGAAAATTTTATAATAAGATGAATCAATTATGAAGTTAGGACTATTGGATGATGATGATTTCATCTTCATTCATAACTTGTTGGAGATAGTATGATCCAAGAGCCCGTTGATCATGGTTATTAATATCTTATGATATTTGATACGTATCTTATGATATAGGTTGTCAACAATACGTATCAAAGAGTGTATCTTAAACCTTTCAATACGTTGATATGTATCCGACAATACATATTAGTTCGTATCCTTAAAATATAATACTACTTTATTAATTTGGGCCTAAGGCCTAATAAATTTTTCAGGTCGGATTGAAATAGATCGGGTCGGATTCGAGTCACCCAATCCAGTTCACTAAACTCGTACATTACCCCATTTTACATAGAAAAAGTGAAGAGGAAGATATGTTGCTTATTTTGCATGTAATAATAAGGTGTTCAAAAGAACCAATGAAACCGGAATCAGCGGTACGGGGTTTGGTTCCGGTTTCGGTTCCTACCCGGAAACGGTCGTCAATGGATAGGTTCCAGTTCCAAATTTTTGGAACCCATTACTGTGCGATTCCGGTTCCGGTTCCGGTTTCTATAGCTAGGAATCGGAACCGAGAACCGAAACTAATATAATATAAAATTAAAGAGTAGGGGGGTTAAAAAAACTTTTGTATAAAAATAACGTGAATAATTTCATTTAAACATTTTGAAAACAAGTTATAACATGAACTATTAAAAATGCATCACCAGGATGGATCCTGCAGATAAATACGTTAGATGAGAAGTGTAGTTGGTTTTCATGAGTTTGCATCTTGCAAATGAAGTTGATCGTGTTAGAAATATATCAGCTATAGAGGATTCTGCAGTTATAACTGATCAACAGTATTTGAATTCTAAACATGAGAAGATCTCAGAAGTTGATAATGCCGCATCATAACAAGCTATTATTTAAATATATTATAGCTATGTTCTTATCTTCTCAGTAATCACTTTGTAAATTCAAATACATGTATTACCTTTATAAATATAATGCAATACACGACTAGTAATGCATAGAAAACCAGCCTTCAATTTCTATTTCCAACTTGGTATCAGAGCTCTCATTAGCTCACGCTTTTCTCCCTTCAATCCATTATGGCCTCAGCTTCCAATAATCCCTCTTTTATCATTTCTAATATCACATCTTTGGTCTCTGTTGAACTTGAGAGACCAAAATATCTGAACTGGACTACTCAGTTT